AATCCATGTATTGTTCCACTGCCTATTTATTTATTTGATTTACATTGCTATCTGTCTCACACAAGTGAATCTGGGTGACATATAAAAATTAAAACACACAACTCCTGGCACCCAAGGATAAACAATAATAAGAAAAAAAGCACAGCAACAACCACAAGCTCATCTAACCTCCTGAACCAAATGCCTGGGGAATTAGCCAGGTCTTCAGTATCTTACAAAAGGCTGATAGGGTTGGGGCCATCTGAATCTCCAGGGGAATGGTGTTCCACAGGGCAGGCACTGTCACTGAGAAGGCACAACAGAGTAATTGTGCCTTCTCAATGTCAAAGATGACATTGCTTAATAAAAGGGACCTAGAGCATGCCCCCTCTATTAGATCTGATGGGGCAAGCAGAAACAATGGGAGAAAGAGGGTCCCACAGGTAGCCTGGCACTATGCCATGAAGGGCTTTATAGGTAATGACCAGCACCTTGAATTGCACGTGGAAGCCTACTGGGGGCCAGCGCAGCAGAGCAGCAATGTTACATGGACATAATGAGGAATGCCAAAAACTGCCCACTTTGTTGTGTTTTGATGTTACATGCACTCCCAGGTTCAGCTTACGATTTGTGATGGAATGTGAGGGTGACCTTGGAAGATGGGGGAAAGAGATGCCACCTAGGGAATGATCAGATAAAAGAGAAAGGAGTCTGCAACAGAGTAACGGCCAGAGAAAGAAAGGACCTGCCCCAACAACTTAGGCGGTAAATAGGGAGAATGAGAGATTTGTACTTTCAGACTTGCAAGATTCTGTTAATGTAGCCTTACAATAAAGTAGAATTAGCTCATCTAGTTGTGTCTCCTGTCTGGTTTGCCTGGGAGGACTGGCATGGTCACTTATTCACACACAGCCTGTTGAGGCACGCAGATTTTCTAAGTCCCCCTTGCTTTCTACCTGGGTTTTCCAGATAGGTGTAGCTAGAGCAGACAAGACACACAGCCCTGGTCAACAGCTGAGTAAAAATTAGGGGCACACAAATCACTTTCAACCAAACACTGAGGCATATCAGATTCTTTGGAATACAAAGAGACCCAGTGAATTTAAAGTAGCAGCAAAACTTTACTGGTTACAATGTACGTTTGCTCTTTCTCTCTCACACACACACACTTACCACATCCTTCTCAACCAGGCTGCCAGGCACTAGCTAGAGGGACAGAAGCTGCCAAGTCTGAATCCAAAGACGACTAAGGAATGGGTGGACTTCAGGTCTCCTTTTTAATCTCCAAAATTCTTGCTTTGTTGATTAGCTGGGATTGGGTTTTTTCCCATGTGCTCAGGCCCAACTTCCTTTGTCTGGTTCAGGTGACATTTTTTTCCTTTGTTTCCTAAACAACTTGTTTCTTCCTTATCTACCTCCCAGAAGGGATTTTTTAGACAAGATTCCTGATTTTTTGTCCTCTCTGCTTATGTGCCTACTTCATCTTTAGTTATGGCAGCTTCAGCCTAGTCTCACAGTGGACCCGCTGCAGCTTCCAAGTGCTCTTCAAGGGCAGTTCCATGTGGAGCATGTTATAGTAATCCAAATGGGAGGTGACTAAGGCATGAGTCACTGTGAGCAAGGCCTTCTGGTCCAGGAATGGGTGCAACTGATGCATTGGTGCACAAGATGAAGCTGAGCAAAGGCCCCAGCCATGGTTGCCACATGCTGTTCAAACAGGAGCCAAGAGTCCAGGACTCCCAAATTACATACCAACTCTGACTGGAGAAGTGTATCCCCATGCAGTGTTAAAGATGGAAAATAGCCAGAATTTGGGGAGACAGTTTAAAACTCACAGCCACTCAGTCTTGTCAGGTTTGAACCAAAGCCTGCTCTCCCCTATCCCAACCTTCACAGCCTCCAGGCACTTGGAAAGGTCTTCGACATTATAGCTTGGTCAGCCCAGGGTGGGAGATGTACAACTGGGTATCATCAGAATACTGATGATACTGCACCTCATGCTGGCAGATGACCTTGCCCAGTGGTTTCATGTAGATGTTAAATAGGAGCAGAAAGAGGGTAGAGCCCTGAGACACACCCTCAAAGCAAGGAATTCAGGGATTGCAGAGGGCATAGCCTTGAAGGACACGAGGAGAGCTACTATCAACGCAACAGTCAGACAATGGGTTTGAGTCCATTCCAAGAAACTAATTTGAGAAACATCTCAGACAGGCCCCTCCCTAGTTCACGTAGGGATAAAGTGATGGGGGGGGCACATTCAGACTTGGAAGATTTTGTTACTATAGTTGTAATAATAAAAGTAATTTTAGACCTATAGGGCGTTGGTTTCTTGGTCTGATCTACCTTATAGAGTTGTCCTCTCCACACACACCCCATTGTACTACCTATGGCATCTGGCATTCATAAATCCAAATGCCAGAATTTTTAGTTAGTCTCTCTCAATCTGATCAAGACATTACAATCTTCCTTCTGCAAGACCTGACTTGGACAACCGCTATAAAGGTTGCCACATTTCTAGCAATAACTATAACTTGAAGAAGCTGGTTAATATCCTCTTCTTGTTATTGTTTTCAGGCTTAAATTTTCTACTTGTATTTTATGCCTGGGAGCATAAATAAATAATTAGAAATTGGATTTGCAAGTGGAAGACTATGAGTCTCCGATTAAACAAACAAACAAAAAAACTATTTCAGTTCCCATTTTTAAAGAAAGTTAGGTAACACTTTTGGCTCTTAGCAGTCGCCCAACTCCTTAGCATTTTATATTATAAGGGAAATTACCATAAATAATAATTAATATTGGAAACAGATGACCAGAGAAAAAGCATATGCAATATCCTACTTATATATATACATAAATACAAATAATATCAAAAGCAAAAGAGTGATAAAAATTGTACTTTCAAATTAGCAATAGTCAAGCTTGTTGCAAACATCCCCGCACACATTAATAAGGTGTTATTGTTATTATGCAAAGCCAAGTGTGAGGAAGGGGAAAGAAGAACAAATCACAGCTACAAAGAGGACTAAAATTTAGATCTTTCCTTTATAGCGTCCAAGACAAATATATAAAACAAGCAACTGCCTAAATAGGAATTAAAAGGTTGGAAGGAGGAATGATAGCAGAACATAGAATATTTTCAGTCCTCTGAAGAAATTTCAGTTGTAAAACATAGAGAAGTGAGAATTTTTTCTGCTTTGGCCAGAACATCTTTGGATGTGTCAGATGCTCGGATAACAAGTATGACGAGAAATCTGGTAAAATACTGAAGATCCCTATCATAAATCATAATTTTTACTACACAAAATCCTCTCTATGTCTTGCATTTCCTTAGCATCACCTGGAAAGAACAATGTGCCACTTCATTTTTTTTCTACTTTAGTATTGTATTTTCTCAGCTGATTTAACCAGTGGCTGAGGTTTATCATCTATACAAAATGGAAAGGCTGAAATGTGATGGGCCCTTAGTATCTAGCAGATTTTTTTTTCAACTTGGCAGAACTCGTACTTCATGTATTAAGGTTTCCGTAGGAAAGCAGAGTGACGTTCTCTCCTTGTCTTGAAATTCTAGCTACATGTAAATTGGACCAGTGAGACTAAGATTTAAAGAAGATTACTTAGGCCTGTGTACTCTTCAGTAATTCAGTTGTGGACACATCTGTGTGCTTCTTGGTATCTCCCAAATGAGATAGTCTGTTCTCAGTCACATCTAACCTCATACGTACCATGCTAACAGAACGATGAATAATTTTTATCTCTGTCCACATCTCCATGAGTACAGGCATAATGTGCTCCTTAGTAATTTCACAGCAACTGTGGCTTTGGGGAGAAGAAAGCAGTTGAGGTTTTTTGAGCTCTGCTCAGACAATAAGACTTACGTTGCCATCTCCAATGGCAGTAATTAGATCTTAGGATAATAATGCTGCCGGAGATACTGGAGCATATTAATTCTTACCTGACTCTAGTATCCTCTTGACTAGAAGTCTGCAAAACATAATACTGTACAGAAATAATTCTTGACTGTGTCTGCTTTTGAATTAAATACAGATGCATGCTGAAAAGCTTGGGCTGAATTTACATATCCATATTTAATGCAAATGTAGACATTAGTATAATGAGTTTGCGTGTTATAGCTTGACATGTGGAACAGCGTATGAATGAGCTTAAATCCTTAGCTTAAAGGTACATTCAAAGACATGCCTGACAAAGAGAATTCCATAGCATACCATTTTCCTGTGTGTTACAGCTGCAAATCATTAGAGCCTTTTCTTGGTCAGCAAAAAGACGAAAGGATCAAGATGCATCTGCAAACGGTGCTTGTAGCTAACATATTACAGAAGTCTCAGGTTCAACCAAAGAGAAAAGTTACGAAGAGTCAAGAAAGAATTGTATAAAAACACTCACAATTAGCAAAATCAGTTACAAGAGCACTGTGTGCAAAGCAGTTTGTGTGTTGGGTTACGTTTGGGAAAAGCATTCTTCCTCTGTTTACTTTATCTAATTCATTTCTCTTATTCCAGATGCATCGCTTACAGACTCATGCTATTCACTACTGAAATAAAAGGGGTGCTTTTAAATACTCGGCACTGACATTTGTGCCAAATAGTTGCAGGGTGTTTTCAGCAGCTGTCAGACTAAAGCATCTATGGGGTAAATAGAGGATGTTTTCTAAGTTACTCATTGTAAGCAAATGATTCTTCTAGGATGTTAAACCTATTTCATTCTGTTTTAGAGAAAGCATTTATTGCAGCCTTCTCTCATTTAGCATTGCCTTCTAGAGCCATCGAATTAATAGTTGCAGAATTAAATAGTACTGCACATCTGAAGACATCATTTTGGAGAAAGTTATTGTCTTGAATCAGCAACTATTGCTATAAAATTTCAAATGCTAAGATGTTGCAGCTTTGTTGCATTACAAACATTATGCTTTTTTAAATGCTGTCTGATCACTTTTGTTTAATCATGATTACAAAATAACACAATGAACACACAATATAATCCAATTTAATTTTTCTCCGTAGGGGGATAGCTCCTATGTGAAGGACCGCTGGTGTGTGTTTGATGGATTCATGGTTTTTTGTCTGTGGGTGTCCTTAGTTTTACAGGTAATTATATTTCATTACAACGAGGGCATCTCTGCCCAAGTACTGAGCTTAATTTAAAAAACCCTCTGACTGGCTCTCCTTCTTAAGCAAACCCAAGATGGGTCTGAAACTTTTAATTGAATTCCACAGAGTGTACTTAACAGAATCTATTTTTTTTTTTATGTTATTATTGAACTTGTATGCTGCCCGACTCCCAATGACACTGGGTGGTTCATAACAATCAAAACAAAGAAATTACATTAAATCCAATTAAAAGAAAGGGAAAAAAAGATAAAATATGACAAGAACAGCAGACCAGATGGAATGAAGGGAGGGGTCTTACTGTCCCTCACAAGGTCTTCACCATTCTTCTGAACAACAGCAGGGGGGGGACATCCAGATCTCGGGGGGAACCTCATTCTGGACGGCAGGCGCTGCTACAGAGAAAGCATGCTTTTGGCGTCCTGATGGATGACATTGCTTAATCGAAGGAACCCAACTCTGCACCAACCCTGCAAGATTAAATCAGCTGGGCAGATACTATGGAAGACAGGTAGTCCCTCAAGTAAACAGTACCTGTGCTATGTAGGGCTTTATAAGTCATGATCATCACCTTGAATCACACCCAGAAGCAAACTGGAAACCAGTGTAGCTTGCAAAGCAGAGATATTACAGGCATGCCCATCATTGTTCCCACCACTGCTTTCTGGAAAGTTGAAGCTTCCAGGTAGTCTTCAAGGGCAGTCCCATGTACAGCATCTTGCAGTAGTCAAGCCACGAGGAGCCCATGGCATGAGTGACTATCTGAAGGGCCATCTGCTCTAGGAGAGGGCACAACTGGTGCACCAGGTGAAGTTGTGCAAAGGCCAACTTTGTTTGGCACCCTGGCCTTACTGGAGCAAAACAGTGTTTTTCAATCCCCATCTCCTTTAACTGCAGTACTGCAACCTATTATGGTGAAATCAGATGGGTGATCAAGCAACTACAAAACTAAAATGTAATGCTTTTTTTAAAAAACTAGATCAGTATTAATTACCTAACATTTTGAGATAAGTACCAATTAGATAAATTTTGTACTTTTGACCACTCTTGATTGGACAATATCTGGCCAAAACTAAGAGAAAAATATGCTAAGTTCTACTATTAGTGTGGATAAGGCTTTCAAATACAAAATTCGTATCAAACAAAACCTTACATGGTTCAAAAAGATTTCTTTGTATATAAATGTATACAAATAATAAAACGCTTCTATCAGAATTACTGATAACAGCACTGATGTGTGTTATGCATTATACTTAATATTCCAGATCTACATGACTCATTCTTTTGTCACTGCTTAAAAAAAAGGTTTGAATCCCAGGTGTGTGCACTAAAGCCTGTTATCATTTATTTGAACCGCAGCCTAACACAGCTTGCTCTGTATACAGCATGCTAGCACCATACACGAGCAAAGGGATCCTGTACCTTCTATTTGACTACTCCAGTACACCAGCCTGGAATTGTTTTAGATCAATATATTCAAGATATCTTAATTCCCTGGGGAAAAAAAAGTTCATTTTGTCAAATGAGGTAACTGATGTTTGAGTCTTCAGGATAATCGGTTGCAAAGGCATCTCGTTAAGAAGCATGGAAATCCTCAATTTAACAAAAGCCACCACTGAAATAAAGTTGACAATGGAATTATGTTGTTGCTGGAAATTATACTATTTTGCAGAAATAATAATTTAAAATTAGCCCAAGAAGACTGGCATGATCAGGAAACATCAGAGGGAAAAAGGCATTCCTTTTCTTTCTAGGTTTTTGAAATCGCTGAGATAGTTGATCAGATGTCTCCTTGGGGCATGTTGAGGATCCCACGACCACTTATTATGATTCGAGCATTCCGAATTTATTTCCGCTTTGAATTACCAAGAACCAGGATAACCAACATTTTAAAGTAAGTGTGTTATCTTTGATTTTAAAGTGTAGCTTTGGTAACTTTAGGCCCAGCTGTATAAAAATATATTGGGAGTGAGGGACCTGCTTTCAATTTCATATTATTCCATATCCCTTTGCTTACTTTATTTATATTTGCAACATTAAAGGGTGGATTATTGGGGAAGTTTCAGACCTATGCGAGTCTTCTCTCTCCTCTGAGAAGGAAAATCAAGGATTTTTAAAGGTTGCAGAAGGCCTGATTGGTTTCTCGACATAGTGTATTTCATCAGTTCTGTAGATTTTCTATAGATATCCTAGTTTAGGTTCAGGCATAGCTACTAATTCCTCATACACACTTTTTATTTATATACTTAAGATTTTAAAAATAGGTTAGGGAAATACACATCTGACAGTATACAAGTTGTTCTGAATTAGAGTCCAATGTAATTTGGACCTAAATCCAATGCAGTGTTTGGAACAAAAAAAATATTTCTCTCATTCTCACTTGACAAATGGAGTGATAAATCTACATCACCAAAGCCTTTTCTGATGGACCCGAAACCTTGGCAACCCTATGACAACATATGAGTCGAAGACATTTTTTCTTATTGCATATACATTTAATGTATATCACTTTCATTCTCCTTTTCTTTTCTTTCTTTCTTTTTTTTAACTAGGCGCTCAGGTGAACAAATTTGGAGTGTTTCCATTTTCCTTCTGTTCTTTCTGCTTCTATATGGAATTTTGGGGGTCCAGATGTTTGGACCTTTCACGTATCATTGCGTAACAAACGATACAAAGCCAGGGTAAGTTTCAATCAGGAATTTTCTGTGTGTCTCCCTTTAAATCTTTTTTGTACAGCATTGATCCCTGTCCTATATTCTATTTGATGTTGGTCTTGATGATGAGGCCTTGAAATGTAGAAGTCTTCCTGTGAGATTTGGTGCTTTAGCCACACACAGTTTATAAGGACTCTTGGGAACCATATGATCTTCTAAAAGGGAACTTGGGAACAATAAGTTCTAATTTCCCATGAAACATGGTTGTTGGATTGCTGAAAGCATGCACAACAGAGTCTCACAGTGTTGATACTAGGTTTCTATGGCCCTTAGGGACTATATTCTCATGAATAATTTCATCCAAGACAATGTGGTAGCCAGATAGAAGGTGTTGTGGTGGAATTTCCTAGAAAATTTGTATGGAAATGAGAAATTGGTGAGCTAAATTAGGAAGGGATAGTACAAACAAAAACATTAACAATACTCTTCCGCTTGGTTAATTACACTTTACATGTTAAATGCGGCTAGTACTTTACTATGTTTTTAAGTATTGCTAATAGAAGATGGGATTCTTCCTTTCTTTTTGGTCTTTGTTTTTCTTTAGCATTTTATTGTACTTTATTGTTTGAAGTTGAAAAACAGCCTGAAATATAACTTATGAAGTCTGTAATAAAAATTTGATTGAAATATACTGTTAAGAAAATAGTGTATACATTATCTTAAATGAATAAATGGGTAATATATATCTAATGAAGAAAGTTCACATGGTTTGATTCAGCTTCTGTACTTTTGCTCCAAGTCAGCTATTCTTTCCCTTGTTCACCTCCCAAATTTAACTTTATGGCAGTACTATGGCCATAGCTGACTGAAAGACTTAATCTCCTTTTTTTTTTTTCCCCCGTCATTGTTACCTTCAATGTAGGGTAACAACCTTTAAAGTAGGGCCAATGAGGACATGAGAAGAATTCATTTGCTAGTTAATGATGTATTAAATGTGTTTAATAGACTTTGATTTGGGAATAGACATGCCAAATGGAAAACAAAGTTGTGGGAATTCTTTGGTGTAAAGGATTCATAAATATTGATCCATGGACAGTGTTTGTCTGTTGGAGTTAAATCAGAAAATACTTCCAGATGGACTGATGGTAGTAGTGCTAATCAAAAGTTATTCCATCTTTCTGACCTTAGCTTTATTTTATGATACAAAACAAGACAAAGATGGAAATGGTTTTTAAAAAATGGGAAAATCATAAATGGAAGACCCCATCCCATTAAAAAAAAAAAAAATTAGATATAAAAAATAAGGCCAAAGAATTTTCTTGTCTACTAAGTCGTGCAAAATACTGACCATGTTTTGTGGTCCCTAGTTGTTTGATCCATGCAGGAAGTGGTGGTGGTGGTAATGGATTGAATTTTGTCACATTTCTGTCAAATTTAGTTCATTAAAGTAAGTAATATTGTTCAGTAGGCATACACACACTCAAGTTCATAGTTGTGTCTGAATGGGCCATCTGGAGGTTGGCTCTGTGGGCCTTAAATTGTTTATGCAGAGATCAGACCTGAAGGAAGTAAAACCAGAAGTTTTACAGCAAAAAATACTTTGGATTTCCCAAGTGTAGCAGATACTTGGAGTGTTGAGTTGTTCAACGTTAAAACAAACATAAATAGGTTACATTAGTTTAACTATGTGTTTTTAATAAGTTCAGCACAGTTGAGCCAGCTGTTTTTTAACTAACAAGATTTTTAAAAGCAAACAGACAACCAAGTGTTACATTGTCTGTAATGATTCTCTTAATTTTATTTTATTGTTGTTATCAGGTTCCTCCCCTTTCCCTCAAGAGAATTCTAAATCCTTTTCTTGCCAGCTTTTCTTTTCATACTCATCCTGTTCCTATAATCACTTGGCTAACTCTGTTTCTTCTGAGGCAGTTATTCTTCAGCCTGCACTATACTGATGTCTCTCTTTCTCTCCCTCTCACTTTCTAATACACAACATTTTGTTGTTGTTGTTGTTTTGAGGGCTTCTTCACCATGACTCATTTTTATTTGCGGCTTGCTTGTTCATATTTGTTTTATTTCTGTGAAGGAGCAAAGCACGTTAAGGAGCAAAGGCTTAAAAATAATATCTTAATGTATTTCAATAACTAATGCCAGAGTGGGCTGGAATTCTGGTTTTGGACATTAGTTGCTTTGTCAGATCCATACTGACAGAATTTCAGTTCCAGGATTTATCTAGAAATTAACACCCATGTGCTTACTGAGTCATAGCCATAGCTATGATGTTCACTTAGAAGTTAGCTTTTTTCCTTCTTTTAAAATATGGTATGCATTTTGCTAAAGAGAGCATATTAGGTTCTTTTCCTTTGTTTTATTTTCACAATAAACTGGGAGTGAATGACTATGCCAAGATCGCCCATGAATTTCATTGCCAAATGGGAATTTGAATGGGGGTCTCTACAGTCTCAATCCAACACTCTGTTCCAGCGTTCCCTAATTTGGTGTCCTGCAGAAACACTGAAACTGCAATTCCCAGAACTCCTACTGTTTTTCATATCTGCTGTTCTTTCCTTTAAGTATTTAAAACAAAGCCTATATAACCCACACATTAAGCAAAGAATGGGATTACTGTAAATGATGGCCAGGGCACTCCCGTTCTATAGATCCCTTTTAATTCTACTGTCTTCCTCCATGGTCCTGAGTGAATCCTCCTCAGCCTAACATTGTTTTCCCAATTAAGGTTGATTAACTCTTTAGTCCTATTGCTCTTAGTTCCTCAGATGGAGAGGGGAAATAAATAGGATTACTCCAAAATAAATGGTTTAAAGAAAGATGGTATCTTTTCAAGAAAATCACTTGTCCCTTTCCATCTTTTGTTTTGGCATATGAATGTATACATGACTGGTATTAATAGTTTTTCTTTTTCCTCACACTCCTTCAGTGGATTGCCCTACAGTAAATCTCAATTTGCGGAGGAATAAATCCTTCTGATCATTTCAAATCCTTCTTCCATTCTCTTGAGCCATTATTCCATTTAAATATGATGATGTGTGAATTTGATAAAGAGAGTGCATATTGTTCTCAGTTCCCAAAGCTAATCTTACCAGAGTAGGATCAGACAGCCCTTCAATTGAAAACTCTGTTGGCATCCATTATTCCTCATTTATGCCCTGTCACCTAATTTTTATGCAGGTTCACTGTTTCTGTGCGGGCCAATGATTTGGATACTCAAGGAAATAATGGTGGAAGCTAAACAGATAGTCTTTCTCCCTCTTTTCACACTGCTGAAAGAACAAGGATTGCATACTTTACCCTGGTAGTATTCAATCTGACTGATTTCCTTGTCATCCCAATAGAAACATAACCTGGAATAATTTGGCAATCCCAGACACACATTGTTCAAAAGCATCAGAAGAAGGCTACCAGTGTCCACCAGGATTTGAGTGTTTGGACCTTGAAGAACTGGGGTTAAGCAGACAGGAGCTGGGCTACAGTGGTTTTAACGAGATAGGTATGTCTATCTGATTACAATCTATTTCCAGTGCCTATTTGAAAATGCCTATGAAGTTTGTAGAAGAAGCTCTGAACAGATAGGCTGTAAATATACTAGGAAGGAGCACAAATTTGGTAAGTATTTTTTCCCTTTGGCAGATTTTTCCTCCTTATTACTCAAAATGGAGATTGATTAAGGATTTATTAAATACGTAATTAAGTCTGTGCAATTCAACTCTGCTATACAGTAATTTCCAAATTCCAGGTGACCTTAGTGGTATGTACTTTTCGCTGATGTTACCTTTTCCCAAAGTAAAGTAACAGGAGCTACAGTGTATAGCACTGTCCAGGAGTGGAGAGTAGAGCTGGTGGATTCTTAATTATTTCTCTCCTGGCCTTTTTTCACCTTCTGTGAAGGTTACAAAAGATATTGACTGCAGCTTGGAGATATCATGTGCAATTTAGTCCTTTAAATATATTCTAGTAACACTGTCATAAGCATTAAAGTTAATATATTAATGTTTTCCTTAAAAACACAGCAGAAATTGACGGGCAGAAAGCAACATACATATGAGTAGAAAATACAAGTACTATCCCCGATGAAGTAGGATCACATTAGAGATAGTGACCAGTATTATGTGTGGGTCCTAGTCCTGTGTAAATCAGAATTGATTTGATTTGATTGCAATTCAAGATTTAAAGAGGGCATGATTCGCTATGAGTTTATTATTTGAGATTTGAGGGCAAATCAGTTCAGTCTGAGCTGCTTTGAGATTTGAGGTCCAATTAAAAAATGTGTCCATAAGTTATAATGGGGAAACTTCAAAGCTCCTGAAGGTACTTCATATTTTGGTAGGGTAGAATGAAAATCGCAGGGATTGCAGATTGTCTAGAGGAAATTAATTCTGTCAAGCTTCAACTATATCCCACAATAATTTTAAGATAGTCTCCCTGTAGCTTTCTAAAGGCAGAGATAGCAAAGATGAAGAAATGACTATATCATTCAGCCTCCAAATTGTCTAGCCTATAGAGAAGTTGGCTGAACCAATGAAGGTATCTGATTCCAGTTTAAAAATCCAATCTTTCAAAAACTGTTGTTTACTTTTCCACTTGCTTTTCTGAATTACACTGCAAAATAATTGGTTTGTCTTTGTGGGGTGTTGTATTTTGCTGCTTCTGATTACTGACTACTGAACTATGGCTTTTCTTGTATGTTGGAGGGTTGGCATAGCTGGTTGGCAAGGCTATTTTTTGAGTAGGGCCTCTCATCACTGTGTTAGGTGCTAGACTGAATAGGGTATGTGGGCAAAACCTGGCCTCTTCTGGGCTGGATTTGGAAGAAGAACTATTAAATTGTTTCTGTGTGGGTGTGTAGCTTTGTTGCCTCTGATCACTAGGGTTTTTGGGATGCCAGGTGGATTAGCATAACCAGTTGGCAAACTTGGTATCTCCTAGGAAAAACTCATCAGTGGCAGCAAGGCTTGAGTTGTGCTGGAGTTGTGGCTTGTTGACAATATTCTGTCTTGCTTAATTAGTAGAGGCAGCTGAAGCCACAGAGATAGGTAAGCTACAGTGAAAATGCCTGGAGAGGAGGAATAAGCAGAATTTGTAACCCTTAAAAACAGTAAACATTAAGGCCTCCACCTCTCATCTGGCACCCATTCATACATTGCCAAGAGACTTAAATCTGTCCAAATCATGCAGAATGTAAATGTAGTACATGATCAAGAACATGGACAGAACTGATCAACCTTGAACGTGTAAGAAGCAGAGTTACCAGTTGCAGTGACAGGCCAATGTAGAAATATAACCCTTTATTATTATAGGAGAGGCAAAGTGAAAGGTTGTAGCTGCCCATGTTAAAAAAGCTGGCCATTGGCTGGCTACTCACGTCAGAGCCCATCACACAACTTAATCCATACGTGGAAGTGAAAACGCAGCATTGTATATTGTCAGTAATAATCCCAGCCAGAAACATCAGAAAAGCCATCAAATCTATGAAATGCTTCAAAGCCATCTGATTGAATTTCAGAATATATTTAGAAATATATTCTTTTCATCTCTTTTTTTCTTTTTGGCCTGGCCTTTGGTACATTATAAAGACCTATTTCGTTAAATACTGTGAGCTAGCTGATCTGATTACTGCATACATTATAAAGTTATCTACTCAGAAACACGTTATATTCTTTGGATCCCAACTTACTAATTGAACATCTTAATTAAATATGTTGTTTTATTTGCAATGACAATAACGTTTTCAGTGTCTGCAAAGATTAGAAATGTCCTGAGCAGAGAAGGGGAAAGAACATGATTGTATGGTTATATTTTTCAGAATTATGATTATATATAACTGTATGAATTATATATACTTGTACGAAAGTAATCAGGATTCAGGGGATCATTCAATGAAGCAGTATTTTTACTGTTTGAAAACCATGTTCTGGTACACAGCAATGTAAAACTAAGTGGAAGTGAATTTGTTAGGTTTCTTACTTTGATATTATTAAAATTATTCCTTCTTTAAGGGTTCCATTATCGGCAATAACCAAAGAACACAAAGGACTAGCAGTATTATATTACCATTCTTGTTCTACAAGTGTATACTTCTGTGCATTTAGTTCTGGCATTTAGATATGGGGCCTTCCTCTTATGAATCTTCTTTTTGTACGTTTCCCTCCCTTCTCCCCAAAAAATAAATGCATCCATTCTTTTCAACCTGGCACTAGAAAAAACAAAAGGTATACATATTTTTCTTTGCCCCAGGATTTTAATTTTTTTTCCAATCTTGTGAATGATCCTTGGAACACAAGGAGTGTTTAAACATACTGTCTGAGTCCAGTACTGGAAACCTTCGGAAAAATATAAACACTGAGCGTTATGTGCCTAATCCTCTTCTTCATGGGCCTTGTACCCCATGTGTCCATGATAAAGCTACAAACAGTTTTTTTTTAATCTTCAAACCTTGGCCTTGCAAAGGTGATAACTTTTACTTTGGAGCAATGAACAGCCTCATCACCTCCCGCTTTCGCTATGCAATGTTGTTGTTTATGACAAAGAACAATTTTGGAAGATTTTTGCTTCTGGTAGGGCAATCCTAATCAACAGGAGTTTACTTTTTCCATTTTCACAAGTTGTAGGTAGCTTTTTTTCAAGACTTGTTCACTTGTTTTGATTGCCCTTTTCCTAAATCTGCTGTTGAAAAATGGAGTGGCTGCCTACTAGGAATAAAAGAGTAACTTATCCCTTGATTTCTGCAGAGGTTTAAGGGATTGTCATGAACACCCTTGGGCTTGATGTTTTCTGTTGTTTCTGGAATGCCTTTTACAAAGTTACATGAATTCAATAACTGCAACCTTATCTGGAGAAAGCTGCACTGGACTTCAATATACATGCACTTGTTACACCCAGACGGAACTACTTTCTATCTAGGTCTGCCTTTAAAGGTCATTTGGAAACTTTACCTGCTTCAGGATTTTGTTACCAGAATGCATTTAGGAGCTAACAGCTTTTTTCTTTTGCAATCATTATATTAGTTAACTGTTTGTTTTCAGAGTCAAAGTACTGTTAGTAATTTTTAGAACCAAAATGTTTGGGACCAGTAATTTGAAAGACTGTCTATACTTGTATGAACCTGCCTAGGTCTTACAAAACTGCCTTGCTTATCCATCACTAAACAAGAGAAGGTTAGCATAATCCACACTTCTCGTATGAACTGGTATTGCCTTATCTTTTAGGTACTTTTCAATGGCCTTTTTATTCTGTCAAGCTTTTTATGGATTTTATTGTTACTCCTAAAATATATTTATAATGCAGTGTTGCTATTGTGCTATGCTTTAAATGTCTGAATAGTAAGCCTCTTCATTCAGACATATCCTAAAATTTCAGGGTAGAAATATCACACGAAATAAACTCATCTAAAGAATTGAAAAGATTAAGCTGTAAATTCTTGACCACCTGGCTCGGATTTATAAACTGCAGTTATTTATGATGTGACACAGTTAAATGTGTATGGTTGAGGGGAGATACACAAATCTTCCTTTTCCTATTGCTTAGTGGTTTTGTAAGATTTAAGTTTCTTCACATTGCACAAATACACAGCCAATCTTATGTTGGTGTATTTAAACTCGGATTCATTCACCAGAGAATGGGCGGTGATTTTGACTTGAAGAATCTTGACAGTTTGGGGCTCTGATTTATACTTATTTATCCTGGTATAGCTAATATAACTCTGACATGGTCTGAATATCTTATTTTTTAGTTGACCTTCTATCGCATTCTGTGGAGTACTTTGTTTCATTGGGCCAAATTGCATATCATGCTTAGATTTGTGGTTAAATATGAAGTTCTGCTTTTCTTGCTCGTTGGCATCTGCCCCCAACACACCAGATTGCTGTGACTATCAAGCAGATGTTGCTGGAAGTTTTCAAATCCACGGCACACACCACTTCCAGTTTCAACTTTCCAGAGAATTTAGCATTTATGGGCCTGTTGCGAACTATGATTATGTTCCCTTATTAGTTGAGGGTAGCAGTGGTATGCAACCTACATTTGGACAGCATTCTATCTATTTATTTATTTATCAGTCAAATTTAGGAGGCCAACAACTCCAGAAAGACTCTGGGTGGGAAAGCACCAAATGAGCTTATTTAGTCTATGTTCTTCTAAAACAGAATCCTACTTTTATGTATTGTTGGAACTATACCATCCTCCCCAGAGTGGTCCAGTTATGGCTTGGCTCATAACTTACAACAGCCTTTCCTTATGATCAACTCTATCTGCCACAGAGCTCACACCTTCATGGGACTTGAGAGACCTCTTATCTGATTCCCCCCATCTGAATTTGGTTGAGTTGAGTAATAGATCTCACAACAACTTCATCAGCAAGCCCAATCTTAATCCTTCACGTCAACTTACAGTACAGCCTTCTTCAACTGGGGTTCTATGAGAGGTCTCTGGGGGTTCCTCAAGATGTAGTGAATGAAAAAAAATACCTACAACGTACAGATCATGCTAATGTAC